CACACTCACGGCCACTCCAGCGTCGACCTGCTGGGCTCCAGCAATCCTTCCACCTCAGACTTCCAAAAAGCCAGAACTTCAGGTACGCGATATCACACCCAGCTAATTTTTGATTTATTGAAGAGACAAAGTCTCATCAAGTTGCCCCAGCTGGTCTCGAACTCACTGGCTCAGGCAATCCACTCATTTCAGTCTTCCAAAGTGCTGGGATTACAGGCTGAGCCGCCGAGCTCGGCCAGATGCACTGGTCTTTTAAAAAGACATTAATCACTGAGTTATACACATCTTCCTAATGTTGATACATTTCACTATAAAATACGAAAAAATCACCTTCATAATTATCACCAGTGATTTCACCAGAAAATTAAATATTGAAAAGCCACTGAAGTCAGGTGGTGGACACAAGTTTTCCAAAATTCTAATTTGACAGTTCAAATTTTTCATTGGCAACAAATATCATTAGCTATTTTCCTTAAAGTAAACATTTAAGGAAATGGTCATTTATTTCCCCAAAAAATCCTGCTGCATACCTAAGTGTGAATAACCAGTTTGTCAGTCATTCTTTTAAGTAAAAAAAATTAAACAAAAAAAGTAAAACTAGCTTTCTTACAATGCTTCCAACTGAAACAAGTGCACAGGCTTTCTCAAGATAACCATCATAAATCAATGTGCACAGAAATGCTTAAGTATACTTCCCATTTCATCACACAGAATATTAAAAAAGATATATACATAGGTCGAGGCTTAAAACTAATAACTTTTTTGCCTCATAAAACACAAATGTGTTAAGTGAAACTGGCTTTTTTTAAAATTGAGAGTACAATGCAGGCCGAGCACAGATGCTCATGCCTATAGTTCCAGCACTTTGGGAGGCAGAGGCAAGAGGATTACCTGAGCCCAGGAGTTCGAGACCAGCATGGCCAACATAGTGAGACCTCACCTCTACAATAAGTTTTCTTAAAAATTAGTTGGGCATGGTGGTGCACACCTGTATTTCCAGCTACTTGGAAGGTTGAAGCAAAAGGATCACATGAGCCCAGCAGTTCAAGGTTGCGGTGCCCATAAGTTTGCCACTGCACTCTAGCCTGGGCAACAGAGAGTCCAGCTCATTAAATAAATGAATAAATAAAGTACATGGCAATGAAAAAAACACAATGATGACCAGTATTGTTTGTTGCCTCTGCCCTGATTCCTACTAAGGCTCCAGCATTTTACCCATCATTGCTTTAGCACTATAGTGCAAATGTAAACACCATAAAATTGGCAACTGATGCATTAGTATTATTAGGAAAATAGATTTGACCTCACAGGCCCTTTAAAAGGATCTATGGACTCCCAAAGTGTCCATAGACCATAGTTTGAGAACCATTGTTTTTTGTTTTCTTCCTCTTCTAATTTTTTTTTTTTTTTGAGTTGGAGTCTCACTCTGTCGCCCAGACTGGAGTGCAGTGGCCGCTCCCGGCCACCGCAGCCTCGACCTGCTGGGCTCTGGTGATCCTTCCGCCTCAGCCTTCCAAGTAACCGGAATTACAGGCGCGCGCTACCACACCCGGCTGATTTTTTGATTTATTGTAGAGATGAGGTCTCGCTGCCCAGGCGGGTCTCGAACCCGCGGGCTCAGGCAATCCACTCACCTCAGCCTCCCAAAGGCACGGGATTACAGGCTGAGCCACTGAGCCCGGCTCCTCTTCTAATTTTTATTTTGAAATTGTAGGGTACAATTCAGAGTTAGGTATACAAATGTTCCTTGTGCAAGTACCCTTATTGATGAGGTGTGCCCCACCTTCCCCAGGTGGATATCGACTACTGTCAATTCCAGCTCCCCTCCCTGTAGTTTCCCGCTACTTTCAATCCCTTTCCTACAGTAATATGGTAGTTGTTCAAGGTCCACTAATGAGTGAGAACATATGGTACTCAGCTCTTTGTTTC